CCATTGCCGATATGGGAACTGTTTGGAGGAAGTCCCCGGAGTGAGGTGCGTTCACAGCCTGGAGACGGGCAGTCTCCCTATCTGATGTTGCAGCTCTGAGCATGTTGGCAAGCACCTTTTCAGCGATCGGGCCATCCTAGCTTGACTGTTTTTGAGCCAGTGCTGCACTAGGGTTTGGTGCTGGAGCAGCAAGAGTCTCCCATTCGGTGATGGCACTGGCATAGCTAGGGTCCTGTATTCCTGCTGAGTGACTGACGTTATCAGGAAGAATTTGTCTTTTCAACTCGTTTGATGCTATGGAAGAGGATAGGAAAGCTGGTAGAGCAATCTGGGAGGATCTGCGTACTATATATATATATATATATATATATATATATATATATATATTTTATATATATATTTATTTATATGTATATAAAATGGGCGACTGGATACATCAGACTGGAGTAAGGAAGTATGAAGGCAGTCAATATGATGAGATATTTGGGTGTGGATTGATGAACGTGCTCTGTAAATATCACAACTACTAATACTATTCAGTAAGATGCCATAGAGGAAAAAAAGGAGAAATGAATAAGGTAAAATAAGTTGCACTGCTGTTCAGAATTCTGTAGAGTTTGAAGATATGACTGATAAATAAGAAGTCAAACAAAGCAAGGACAGCAGTGGTCTAGGACCCTCCACACCAACAGGAGACTAAGGAGTATGATGACAAGAAAACAGTGGTTAACCCCAGAACAGAAGCAGCAAGAAGAGCTCATTTGGCCAAAGCAAGGCTGCTAATCATAACAGATTTCCACTACAAACAAGCCTGAATATTAAAATCAAAACAAAAATATTCAGAAGAGTGTTGGAATACTTGGGAAGATTTGGCTTCATAAAAATGATTAGCAAGGAATTTAGAGATCGCAGATCTTATCTCACAAACCTGCTTTATATGAGAAAATAAAAGATGAGGCAGAAGAGGGAAAGGTTGTCTGTAAATTCTTAAACTGCAGGAAGGCATTGATATTGCGCCTCAAGAGAGATTGGAACAAGAACTTGAGAGAAACGAAGGAATCACAAGATTGGTCAACAGTGGATTTAAGAATACCTTATGGAAAAAGTTCTGCAAGGATCGGTGTTGGGACCAGTACTATTTTTCTTATATGTGAATGACAAAACAGAAGATGTATCTACAAATGGATCCGAAATATTGCAAAACTGGTCAGACATGTAGCTAAGGGATTTTATACCTAGCAAACGCAACGTTATGAAAACTGGGAAATCGCAAGTATCGGAAACTGAATATAAACTCACTCAAGGAATATAAACTGAATATAAACCTCACTGAATATAAACCTCACTCAAGGAGAAATGTCAAGGGGTCAGCATAGTGCCGAGCATATTGCCAGATACTCACATCAGCTGAATACCCTCTGCCGTGAATGGTCATTAACGGCCCTGTATACGACATTGGTAAAACACACACACACACACACACACACACACACACACACACACACACACACACACACACACACACACACACACACACACACAGTAAATGAAATGATGGAATATGAAACAACAAAATGCAAGGAGGCAGTGGAAAGGTTTATTCCCAAGGGCAACAGTAACAACGGGAAGACCAGAACGAGCCCCTGGTTTACCCGACGGTGTAAGGAGGCAAAAACAAAGTGCAATAGAGAATGGAAAAAGTACAGAAGGCAGAGAACACACGAAAATAGGGAGATAAGTCGCAGAGCCAGGAATGAGTATGCACAGGTAAGGAGGGAGGCCCAGCGACAGTATGAAAATGACATAGCATCGAGAATCAAGACTGACCCGAAACTGTTGTATAGCCACATCAGGAGGAAGACAACAGTCAAAGACCAGGTGATCAGATTAAGGACAGAAGGTGGAAAACTCACAAGAAATGATCAGGAGGTATGTGAGGAGCTGAACAGGAGATTTAAGGAAGTTTTTACAGTAGAGACAGGAAGGGCTGTGGGAAGACAGCACAGAAGGGAACATCAAGAGGGAATATACCAACAAGTGTTGGATGACATACGAACAACTGAGGAGGAGATGAAGAAGCTCTTAAGTGACCTTGACACCTCAAAGGCGATGAGACCGGACAACATCTCCCCATGGGTCCTTAGAGAAGGAGCAGAGATGCTGTGCGTGCCTCTAACCACAATCTTCAACACATCCCTTGAAACTGGGCAACTACCTGAGAAATGGAAGACAGCTAATGTAGTCCCCATATTTAAGAAAGGAAACAGAAACGAGGTACTAAACTACAGACCTGTGTCTCTGACATGTATTGTGTGCAAAGTCATGGAGAAGATTATCAGGAGGAGAGTGGTCGAACACCTGGAAAGGAACAAGATTATAAATGAAAACCAGCATGGGTTCATGGAAGGCAAATCTTGTATCACAAACCTCCTGGAGTTTTATGACAAGGTAACAGAAGTAAGACACGAGAGAGAGGGGTGGGTAGATTGCGTTTTCCTAG